CCCAGGGAGGGGGCGTGGCCTCCGGGCCCCCCTCCCCCCCCTCCCCCCCCCAGCGGAGGCTGTGTGCTGGGCCTCTGCTGCCCTGTGCTGAGAGGCTGTGCTGGACAGGGAAGGGCCTGTCACGGTCAGCTCCTCAGGGTAAGCCTGGGAGGGGTGAGGACGCAGAGGTCAGCTGTCCACGGCCTCCACGGCTCTCCACGGCCTCCACATCCCTCCCCTCCACGGCCTCCACAGCCTCCACGGCCTCCACGGCCTCCACGGCTCTCCACGGCTCTCCACGGCCTCCATGGCTCTCCACAGCCTCCACGGCCTCCACGGCTCTCCACAGCCTCCACGGCCTCCACGGCCCTCCATGGCCTCCACGGCCTCCATGGCCTCCACAGCTCTCCACAGCCTCCACGGCCTCCACGGCCCTCCATGGCCTCCACAGCTCTCCACAGCCTCCACGGCCCTCCACGGCCCTCCATGGCCTCCACGGCCCTCCATGGCCTCCACGGCCCTCCATGGCCTCCACAGCCTCTGCAGCCTCCACGGCCCTTCGTGGCCCTCCTGAGCTGTACTCTTTGCTTCCACCCTGTCTGCTTTGTTCCCCAGGGGGCGGGCTCCGCCCAGTGCAGCCAGACTAGTGCTCAGGGCTCAGTAGGGTGCAGAGCCCAGGGCTGTGCCGGGAGCTGGGCGGCCTCCCCCGTGCAGCCTCCGGGCTTTGCCCCACACACCATGCTGCACAAGGCGCTCCTTACCCTCCTGGATGTGCACAGGTGGAGCCAAAGCCCGACCCTTAGCCCGGGGTGAGCTTGGGAGCTGTCTCTCCCTGGGTGACCTCTAACCCGTGCTCCTGCGGGTGGACTCACACCTGTGCCTCACCCTCCAGGACTCCAAGACCAGAGGTACACTCGGGGCAGCCCAGCCAGACACGGAGAAGTAAGTGCCTCAGACCGTTCTGCTCCTCCTCCAAAGCGTCAGGCCCACCTTGTACCTGCAGCCGGGCCCGGGTGCGGGAGAGCAGCCCTGCCTAGGACTTTCCGGCGGCTGATGCTTGGGCCCTGGATGCCTGAGACCAGCCCAGGAGCAGTCACCTGGGTCCCGTTCCCTCCCCTCCCCTCCCCCTCCAGCCAGGAGCAGTCACCTGGGTCCCGTCCCCTCCCCTCCCCTCCCCCTCCAGCCAGGAGCAGTCACCTGGGTCCCGGCCCCTCCCCTCCCCTCCCCCTCCAGCCAGGAGCAGTCACCTGGGTCCCGACCCCTCCCCTCCCCTCCCCTCCCCCTCCAGCCAGGAGCAGTCACCTGGGTCCCGGCCCCTCCCCTCCCCTCCCCCTCCAGCCAGGAGCAGTCACCTGGGTCCCGGCTCCTCCCCCCACTCCATCTCCTTGGCAGCCACTGGTGGGCCATCTGGGCACAGCACAGGTTCTTGTCCTTAAGAATCCTGCTGTGAAGCCGGCACCGGTGGCTCACACCGGTCATCCTAGTTACTCAGGAGACTGAGAGCTGAGGATCACAGTTCAAAGCCAGCCTGGGCAGGAAAGTCCCTGAGACTAGCTCCAAGAAATCACCAGAAAACCAGAAGTGGCGCTGTGGTTCAAGTGGCAGAGTGCTCGCCTTGAGCAGAAGAGCTGAGGAGCAGCACCAGGCCCAGAGTTCAAGCCCCAGCCCGTCTTGCGCCCCAGGGGCAGAGCTCCCGGAAGGCCTGTCTGGGCACGGGGCAGGTGTTGGCTGGCAGGCTGCACTGACTTCCTGACAGGGGGCGCCCCCCTGGGGCTGCCTAGTCCACCTCCCACCTGCGCACGGACCTGACCAGCTGTGTTGCAGGGCCTGGGGCGCCCAAGCCGTGGAGACTCACGAGGATGACCCACTGGGGAGCCTGCACCCTGAGCCCGTCGGGACGCCGGCAGAGGAGCCGCTGCCAGGCCTGGGTGGGTTGAGGCCACCCCAGAAGGACCAGGGACAAGGGGGGAGGGAAGGGGCTGGGAGGAAACTGAGGCCATACCTGCATTTACCTGTCTGCAGATGCCAAGGCCTGGGTGGAGATCAAGGACACCCTGGGCCCTCTTCGCCACCCCCAGCGAGGTCCTGAGCCTGATCTTGACAGCCTGTACCACCCCGTCGGCCCTCCTCGCCGCCCCCAGCGAGGTCCTGAGCCTGATCTTGACAGCCTGTGCCACCCCCCGTCGGCCCTCCTCGCCGCCCCCAGCGAGGTCCTGAGCCTGATCTTGACAGTCTGTGCCACCCCCTGTCGGAGGTCTAGGGAGGGGACGAGTCCCAGTCATAGGACAGTGTTGTCTGGAGGACCTAGACCACACCCGCCACCCTGGTGGAGGACCTAGACACACCCGCCACCCTGGTGGAGGAACTAGACACACCCGCCACCCTGGTGGCGGGGAGCTCCATAGGCACTAACCACCCTCCTGTCCCTGCCCACGGCCGAGGCCTCGGGCTTGATCGATGATCCTTCCCGGCCAGAAAAATAAACACCTGCAAACAGATGCACAGCCCGTGACCATCTACTAGACCAGCGGCTCAGGCCCAGCCTGCTCTGCAGGGAGGAGGGCTGCTTCCGCCCCCGAAGGGCTCCCGGGCTCCTCCGACCCCCGGGCTCACGGCAGCCTGTGGGGCTGGGTGGGCAATCAGCATGGGACCAGCCTCAGCAAGGAACGGCAGCCACCTCTCACGGAAGGGGCTGGAAGGGATGGGGACTGCGGCCGTGGGAGTCAAGTGGACAGGCACACATGTCCAGCAGGGACATCTGGCCGTTTTCAGGGCTCCTCGCTCTGCTCTCTGAGATGCAAGGCCTCCTGCTCAGGGTCACCTAGCACAAGCCAGGCCACCAGGTCACGTGGTGCACACTGGGTGCCTGGACTGTGCTCCCACAGTGGCAGCGAGGACGTGGCCCAGCCTTCGGGACAGAGCCACGACAGAGCGAGCACCCAGGAGGGGCCGTCGGCTCCCCATTCTGCTGTGCCAGCCGGCCGCGGCTGCCCGGTTTTGTCCCTGTGCTGGCACGTGCCTCAGGTGCCCTGCATTCTCCAGCACACCCCTCGCCCCCACTCAAGCGGCAGTTGTGAAGACTCCTGCACACCCTGACTTCAAGCCGCATAAACTAGGGGCCAGTGCCCCCGTGAGGTCACGCTCACGGTCATGTGGTACACCGCACCTGCTGTCCTGCCAGCGTGTGTGGGCAGGCGAGTCAACAGACCCCTGCCCCCAGCCCCGGCAGGGCATAGATAGGCATCCTGCCAGGCCTCAGGCAGCCCAGTCCCTGGGCACCGAGGCTCAGTCTCCCAGTGTTAACCGGACTTTGACACCGTGACAGATTCTCCCACAGGAACAACTTGGCTCCGTTTCAGAGGCCTTTGTCCATCCTGGCAGGGAGGCGGTGGTGACAGTGACCTCCGGCCTGATGGCTGGAAGCAGGGAAAGGAATGCGGGGTGCGGGCTTTCTTCTTTCCTTCACTTCACCCACCTGGACCCCAGTCCGTGGGATGGCCAGCTCCTCCCCAGGGCAAGTTTTCTTCCCTTAACCCTCCAGAAACTCCCTTAGAAACACACCCAGAGGCGTGATGTACTAATCTAGGCATTTCCCAATCCAAGTCTACGTCAACGTTAACGTCACCCTCCCTCCAATCACCCATACCGGGTCAGGGACAGCCAAGGAGCACTTACTAGAGTGATTCACATAGCCGTGGTCAGGAGCCAGCACCTTGAGCTCAGAGCCAGATGGGGTCAGACAGACAGACAGACAGACAGGCTGGGATGAAGACTGCACCAGTGTTAGGGGAGAGGAGCCAGGCCCCCCCACACTGGTGGGAATATGTATTAGCAAAGCTGAACAGTCTAAAGGTCTTTTTTTTCTTTCCTTTTCCTTTATTCCTTTTGCATCCCTTCTCTTTTCTTTTTTGAGTCAGGGTCTTGCTATGCAGCCGACACTAGTCCTGAACTTGCAATCTCCCTGCCTCTACCTCCCTAGTGTTGTGACTACAAGCGTACACCACCACCCTGGGCCAACTAAGCTTCATGAGACTACCATATGGCCTAGCCCTTTTCCTAGGCAGGGCCCCAAAGCAACAGAGCACATGTCCAGACAGACTAGTCTGTGAAGGCTACCACTCAGACATACGACATTACTGGCACACACAACATGTACAAATCCCATAGCAACTGTCCGAAAGCCAAGTGCTGCCTGACTCAATTCACCTAAAATCCTAGCTGTGCCAAGGAAGCCGGTGTTAGACAGCAGACCCCTGCTCCTGTGGGGTGAGCTCCCAGGTGCACACTGTGTGTACAATGTGCACACCTGACGATGTGCCAAACCTCAACAAAGCTGTCCGAAGTCCAAGTATGGCAAGCGGTGATTGTTGGGTCAGAAGCTGGCCATGGGCCAGTGGGTCACGAGTGCAGAGCGAGCGGGGGAGGCCGGGGTTGCAGGCGGGGAGGGGGTTGTGGGCAGGGGGGGAGGAGTTGCGGACGGGGGGAGGCCGGGGTCGCGGGTGCAGAGCGAGAGGGGGGCGCGTCCCGCTGTGAGGAGGAGCAGACAGGAAGGACCACACGCCACAACGCCTTGCCAGCCCCGCACCAAATCCGTCATGGCTTCCTTGTGATGCTGTCGTATGGCTTGGTAGCCTGTGTTTCTCCCTTCCCCCCCACTCCCCCCTCGCCCCCCCCGCCCCGCTCCGAGCAAGCCCTTGGCCAAAAAAAATTTTTTACTCACATGCCCTCCCCTCCCTGCCTCCTAGAAGACTAAAAGCCTTCCAAAGTACCAGCTCCATCTCTCTTCCATTTTCTTCCATGGTTGAAGACAGGGAGAGGGACAGGAGCCTGGAAAGGCCTTTGCCTCTGGACAGGCCTCAAGACCCACTCCAAGCATCTTATGGTGTGGCAATGCCATTCCTGACCCTCCTCCGCCACCCACCTTCAAGCCACCCTTGTAGCTTGCTGATCTTCTGCCTGGAGCTGAGCACCAGGCTGACCTCACATCCTTTATGTCCCAGGACAACAGAGGCTTCAAACAAGAAGCATCTGACTTCACCCCTGGATAGTCCTGGCCATTTATGCATCTGCAGTGGGCACTCAATCTGCCACACACGGGGACACTGGGCACTGGTGGCTCGTGCATGTAATCCTAGGTTCCTGCCAGACCAGGCAGGAAAATCGATGAGACTCGTTTCTCCAATTAACCACAAAAAAGCCAGGTGTGGAGTGGGAGCATAAGTGGGAGAACACTAGCCTTAAGGGAAAAAACAAAACTGAAAAACAAAAACCTCAGGGACAGTGCTTAGGCCCTGAGTTCAGGCTCTAGGACTGGCACACACATATCCACATACAGAGGGGGAGGGCACACTGGCACACTCAGGCCTGTGGTCCTACAGCAGGGTGACTGGCACCCAATGTCATCTGCAAATTCCAGCAATCCTTCCTCCCCAAGCATCATGCCGGGCCTGTACCTGCTCTCCTGCTTGAGGATGAGGAGCAACCCTGGCCAACACGAGCTCTCCCCACACTCAAGCCGCCAGTATCCAGTGCACCCCACCTGACCCCAGCCCCAGCCCTCTGCCCGGCACCCAGGTCCTTCCCAGCCAGAGCCTCCTGCCCACTTCCCAGGTCTTTGCTGAGCCCCAGCCCTCTGACCAGCTCCCAGGTCCTCATCCGTTTCCAAGATCCAGCACACCACAGACCCACGCTTCACTTCCCATGCGGGAATGAGTCCCTAAGGATTCATCAGGATTCAACAGGCCTGGGTGAGAGAAGGTTGAAAGTGGCTCATTTTAACATCATTTTTCACATGGGGAGAATCTGTCTGGTCGGTGAGGGGCGTCCAAGGCTTGCCAGTTCCTGCGGCCCTGGGAGGGGTCCGAGGCCTGGTGAATCACGGGGAAGTCACCGGTCAGGTGTTGTCACTTCTGGGTGCACAGTGGCCACCGCCAGGCCTACATCGGGGTGGGGGTCAGCGTCCCCTTCTTGAGGATGATGTTTCCGTAGAGGGCTGTCTCCCTGCAGGAGGACTGTGCTGGCCAGCGTGCTGAGACCCTGGCCCTGCCCTTTGGGGACAGAGATCCAGACACCAGCCACTCAGGGAAACAAGGACCCCACAGTCCAAGTCCTTCCTGCTTTTCATAGGACCCCACGTCTCCTCTAAGCAGAGTGGAATGGGGGGGCAGAGGGAGGCTTCCAGAGTGGAGTACCCAAGCCAGCTGCACGCAGCCAACTCACCCCGTTGCAACAACCGCAAAAGCCTTCTTTGCTCGTTCATAAAACTCAAACCTCTCTATTCTCATCAAGGCTTTCTGGAAGATAAAACCACACAGTTGGAAGGACCCTGCCTAGAAGGCCCGGACAGGCTGAGTCCCAGGCAGGTGGTGGTGCTGGAAGAGGGGCCCTCTAGGCCTCACTCTTGGGTACAGGGCTCTCAAAGACACCAACCTGTGACTCAGACCTGGTGAATGCGTGTGCACCTATCATGTCCCTGTTCAGGGTCCTGTGGTTGAAAGGTGTCTCCTGGGTTGGCATCTCCTGCCAGGGGCCACTCAGCGACCTCTCAGCCCCCCAGTCCCTCCAAACTACCCTGGGGCCAAAGGGAGGGAAGTGAGGCCCCCTGGTTCAACCCAGGGTCCTGGGAGGAGGTGGGCAGTTCTGGGGAATAGGAGGTGGCCCAGGCCCACTTCTGCCTGTGAGCAGGGACCTGGCAGTCCCGGGGCTCCTCTCCCTTGTTTTACTCTTTCTGATCCTTCTGGAGACAGAAGCTTCCTGCCTCCCCCCCCCCCCCCCCCCACTTCCCCACAGCATTCCAGCCTGCAAGCTCACAGTGCATCCAGCCCTGAGCAGAAGGAGCTCATAATCTTCCCACACTGGAGTCTTCAGGCCCCTCTGCTTGTCGCTTGGCACGAGTTCCATGACAGCAGCCTAGGAGACAGGGGTCAGCACATCAGCGCTGGATAGCTCCAGAGCTCTCCTGGAGGCAGGGAGGGGCCCCTATGGGGTCATGCGCACCCCCCCCCAGCAAGTGGTCAGAGGCCCTGCCCTGCCTGTGGGGTTCTGGAGCCTACCTGTGAGGTTCTGGAGCCTGCCTGTGAGTTTCTGGGGATCCTGCCTGTGAGGTTCTGGAGCCTGCCTGTGAGGTTCTGGAGCCTGCCTGTGAGGTTCTGGGGCTCTGCTTGTGAGGTTCTGGGGTCCTGCCTGTGGGGTTCTGGGGAGCTCCTGCCTGTGAGGTTCTGGAGCCTGCCTGTGAGGTTCTGGAGCCTGCCTGTGAGGTTCTGGGGCTCTGCTTGTGAGGTTCTGGGGTCCTGCCTGTGGGGTTCTGGGGAGCTTGCCTGTGAAGTTCTAGAGCCCTGCTTGTGGGGTTCTGGGGATCCTGCCTGTGAGGTTCTGGGGATCCTGCCTGTGAGGTTCTAGAGCCTGCCTGTGAGGTTCTGGGGATCCTGCCTGTGAGGTTCTAGAGCCTGCCTGTGAGGTTCTGGAGCCTGCCTGTGATGTTCTGGGGCTCTGCTTGTGAGGTTCTAGAGCCTGCCTGTGAGGTTCTGGGGTCCTGCCTGTGGGGTTCTGGGGAGCCTGCCTGTGAGGTTCTAGAGCCCTGCTTGTGGGGTTCTGGGGAGCCTGCCTGTGAGGTTCTGGGGAGCCTGCCCGTGAGGTTCTGGAGCCTGCCCGTGAGGTTCTGGAGCCTGCCCATGAGGTTTTGGAACCTGCCTGTGGGGTTCTGGGGAGCCTGCCTGTGAGGTTCTGGGGAGCCTGCCTGTGGGGTTCTGGAGCCTGCCTGTGAGGTTCTGGGGTCCTGCCTGTGGGGTTCTGGGGCCCTGCCTGTAAGGTTCTGGGGCCCTGCCTGTGGGGTTCTGGGGCCCTGCCTGTGGGGTTCTGGGGAGCCTGCCTGTGGGGTTCTGGAGCCTGCCTGTGAGGTTCTGGGGTCCTGCCTGTGGGGTTCTGGGGCCCTGCCTGTGAGGTTCTGGAGCCTGCCTGTGGGGTTCTGGGGCCCTGCCTGTAAGGTTCTAGAGCCTGCCTGTGGGGTTCTGGAGCCCTGCCTGTGGGGTTCTGGGGCCCTGCCTGTGAGGTTCTGGAGCCTGCCTGTGGGGTTCTGGGGCCCTGCCTGTGAGGTTCTGGAGCCTGCCTGTGGGGTCTGGGCAGCCTGCCTGTGAGGTTCTAGAGCCTGCCTGTGAGGTTCTAGAACCTTCCTGTGAGGTTCTAGAGCCTGCTTGTGTGGTTCTGGGGAGCTTGCCTGTGAAGTTCTAGAGCCTGCCTGTGGGGTTCTGGGGCCCTGCCTGTGAGGTTCTAGAGCCTGCCTGTGAGGCTCTAGAACCTTCCTGTGAGGTTCTAGAGCCTGCTTGTGTGGTTCTGGGGAGCTTGCCTGTGAAGTTCTAGAGCCTGCCTGTGGGGTTCTGGGGAGCCTGCCTGTGGGGTTCTGGGGAGCCTGCCTGTGAGGTTCTGGGGAGCTTGCCTGTGAGATTCTAGAGCCCTGCCTGTGGGGTTCTGGGGAGCCTGCCTGTGAGGTTCTAGAGCCTGCCTGTGTGGTTCTGGGGCCCTGCCTGTGAGGTTCTAGAGCCTGCCTGTGGGGTTCTGGGGAGCCTGCCTGTGGGGTGCAGGCTCCAGGACCTCACCGGGCTTTCCACATAGGTGTCCAGAGGCAGCAGCTTCAGCACAGCTTCCAGGAGGACCGGGATGCCCAGGCCTAGGAGATCAAAGCTGGGGTCAGACCTCTGCCTCCCCACAGCCTGCCATTCTTCTGAGTCTTGGGACTCAGTGAGAGGCCAAAGAGCTGTTGGGGATGAGGACAGAGAAGAAGTCATAGGAAAAAGACCAGTGCCAACCTGAGCCCAGCCTTGCTCACCGTCTGCGCGGATCTCCACAGGCCCACACTGACAGATGGAGGAGGTGGGGAAGTTAGCATCTGCAAGAACTGAAGACAGAGGGCCAGGCCCGGTCAGTGGCACACCTTCTCTGCAGCCCGCCCCCCCAGGTGGCCACACACCTGGCAGTAGGGGTGGCTGTCGGTGTGCATGGGCTGTGGTCCCCTTTCAGAGCCAGCGGGTAGGAAAGACGGGGAAGGAGGGACAGGAACAGTGAACAGTCTCACCGAGTTTCCTGTAGCCCAGCCTGCCCCAGGGCCAGTGGCCCCCAAAGGGAGAAACCAGCACCCCTCTTAGTTGCAGTCAGCCACTGGCTGTGGGGCCCTTTAGGCGCATTCTAAGTGTAAGGTCCGCTCCTGGATGGCGAGCAGACTCCACCCTCCTCGCAGCGAAGTCTCCGCCCAGTACCTGCGTTACCTAGGCAACTGGTACACCTGGAAGAGGTCACAACTGCATCCGCTGAGGTCACATCTGGATTCGATGTGGCCACACCTTTCTCCCCGCCTATCCTAGATAAGGCCTAGCCCGGGCCCCATGCTCTCTTTCCCAGGTCTTTTCCCAGCCGAGTGGCGGGCCAACATGGCCTGGTGCCAGCCGGAACGCTGAATAAACAACCCCTTACCTGAATACCACATGCGTGGTGTGGTTCTTACACAGCTACCGCTTTTTAAAAACCTAACACCAAGGGGTGGTCTGTGTTAGGTATTTAATAGGTAGCCGGTAAAGAGAACACCACGTGCTGTTCAGGCAGGAAGAGAAGTTTATTCTACGTGGCTTGCCCTGGCCAGGAAAGGTAAGACCACGTGGACTAAGGGGTGGGCTGAGGGCCAGCCTGGGTTAAGTAGGGAAGGGGAGGGGGGAGGGGGGCCAGGTGAGGGAAGGTGTGGCCACACTGGAGGCGGATGTGACCTTGGGGGCTGTGACCCTCCCCTGGTGTGTGTGTGTGGGGGGAAGATGGGGGGGGGGCTGCCCGGGATGTGATCTCCAGGTGTGCCAGTTACCTAGGTGGCACAGGTACTGGGCGGAGACAACTGAGAGAGGAATCTGCGTGCCTTCCCAGACTGGACCTTACAGTCTGGAGCTGAGAGAGGACACCTAGCCGTCGGCCCAGCTTTCTGCGGCAGCCATTGTCCCAGGACACCTAGGCTGGAGGGGCAGAACTTGCCAGGACAAAGCCTCGGCCTACGTCAACAGCCACCTCGTGGCTGGTGGGCAAACACAGAATGCGGTGGACCAGGGCCTGGGCTGGCCATAATTACAGGTGTGGGAGATGGCTTCCTGCTTGAGGGCGGGCGGCCTCCTCCTCCGTTTTGAACGAGAGCACCATTTTGGACTGTGCTCTGCCCCAGGCTCCTCTTCCCAACCCTGCACTCACCAATCTCATCGCCATGCCCCATCCGTGCCAGTGCAAACAGGAGCTCCGGGGACAGCGCCCGGGGGATGCCCTTGAGTGCCACCATGGCTGCAGGAAGGACGGGGGCGGGGCTGGGGGACGGCCCTCTGGGGGCGGGGCCAAGGGCTGACAGGTAATGCTCGGAGCCCTGTGGCGTGGGAAGGCGACACCACCGCAGCACTTGAAGATGTCCGCGCACTTGCTCCCCCTCCCCCCCCCCCCCCCCCCCCCCCCAGACACGGCCCTGGGAGGCCCACGGCCCCTCCCCCCACCCCGTCCCACACAGGGCAGCAGGCTTGGAGGATGGCTGGGGGCTGCACAGGAAGGGCTCCTGCCTCAGCGTCCTCATTTAGTACTGAACAAAGACAGACAAGGAGGGTTTCAGCTTCAAAAGTAAATAGAAGCCCAAACCCAAGTGGAGCCAGTGGCCAATTAGCTCAATGCTGGATGGGGTCTCCCTCCCTTCCTGAGGCAGCCTCCCCACACACCCTCTGAAGCGGGGGCAGGAACAAGCCCAGGTTTAGACATGGACAGGCAGGAGGCAGGAGGCTGGCAGAGGGCTGTCTGCGACGCCCTCAGGGAGGTGTGCTGTGGAGCCCTTTCCTGTGGTCAGCGATGGCTGACAGTCGGAGAGCTAGCATCCAGTAGGTGTCTCCAAACCCACTCAAAATCAAATGACAGAGGCAGACGCCCAGTGCACACAGAAAGTTACTAATGGGTTCTTCAAATTTTGTTTGTTCCGCTGGGCACTAAAATCTTTGGAAACCTCCTCTGCTCGCTTACTCAACTGTGGTCAGGAGTTTCCTTGTCCTGTGCTCACCCTGTATATTCAGCTGAGGCTGTACCTGCCTGAGGGGCCCCATTCTGCCCTGCCAAGTGCTGTAAAGAAGCGTGTGCACAAGGTCCTCGGCCTGTGTGCAGGGGAACTGAGAAGGCAGCACAGATCCTCCTGCCTGTGCTGACTTCCAGAGAAGACAGGCAAGCCTGGCAGACCGCAGAGCTGACCCCTGGCAGGCAAGCGCCACAGCAAGTGAGCTGCGCTGCAGCTGGACACAAGCGGTCATCCGAGACGCGCCCAGTCAGAGCTTGGCAAAGGTCAGTTCTCAGTGGGCGGTCATACCTTCTTCAGCTCAGGTCTGCCAGGCCGGGGTCTGCATGCTCTTGGCCCATGCCGGCCCAAAGCCAAAATATAATCCAGATTGCACACACCACCAAGTGGGAGTGTAAATGCCATCGGACAGTCACAGGCAGGTCTGTGTGAGGCTTCACCCGGGGAGAATGGTGCTGAGCGGCTCCCAGGTCAGGCCACGTGTTCTTTGCTTTGTCTGAGCCTTTGAGTGGGAGACCACACTAGTCTCTGTGGCCTTATCACAAACCCTAAGTTCTGTTGTATGTTGCCTCTCTCTGGCTTGATGTCAGCGTAGCAGTCACTTTGAGGGCACATACTGATGGGGTGCAGGTAGCGGTGGTTGAATTTCAGTGAGCCTATGGCTGCCATGTGGCTTGGGAGGTCTGGAGTCACAGCACCCTTTACCTTATCCTAGGGTTAGCACAGGCTCCAGGACCTGCGTGGATGCTCCTGACACTTGGGGCAGAACTGAGTTTGAATAGCACTGGTGTTCCTTAGACCTACTCTTACTACACAGCAGCCTAGGGCCAGCACTAAGCTCCTGCCATCTGAATCCACCCCAACAACCTCTCCTGCCACTTGTTTGGTCTCCCAAACTCAAGCAACAAATGGCAGCGAGCACTGAATCACTGCATGATCCTAACCGGGCACTTCCTCGCTGGGGCTTCTCTGTGCCTTGGGAGCCACAGGTGACTTGAGCACTGAGGGCTCCAGGTTATCTCAGGTTTGGTTCTAGCCTAGACTAGTGAATACGTATTCTTGTCTCAGGGGGAAGCAATCCCCCGTGGACCTCGAAGCCCTCCCTGGCCTGGCACTAACTGGAAGTGCTGTTGCATGGCAGAGGCTCCTAGACCTGGTTAAGATGGTGAAACATAATTGAGACTACTCAAACAGTCTACAGGGTTGGGGGCATGGCTCACCTGGTAAAGCACTTGCCTAGCAAATGGCTGGGTGACCGATTTCAAATTGTAGTACTACCAAAACCAACCAGAGACCAGACACAAGCACATGGCAGAATAGAAAGGACCACTGCAGAAGTGGGCTTGGGATGGGACGTGGGGAGCACGTGTGTACTGGGCATGGCAGAGCCACCTCACAGTTGCCGGCTGCTGTGGGAACACGGTATGAGGACGCTACTTCAGGATCATTTATAATGAGAACATCATTCATGTGCATCAGCACTGGGTGTGAACTCAAGGCCTCATGCTCTTGATCAGCTTTCTCACTTATAGCTGACACTCTACCACTTGAGCCATGCTTCTACTTCTGGCTTTTTGCTGGTTAACTGGGGATAAGAGTCTCAGATTTGCCAACTGGGGATGGCCTCAAACCTTTGGTCCTCAGATTTCAGCCTCCTCCTAGAGGATTAAAAAGAGGGCCTAACAGCTTTGAAGCACTTTAATCAGACAATTCTGTTCAAAATCAGCTGACAGAGCCCCTCCCCTGAACAGTCAGATGCACAGCTGCAGATGCAGCTGCCGCTGCTTCCCGCCCGACTCAGTGCCCAGAGACCATGGCTGCAAACACCGGTCCCTTGTGAAAACACCTCCAAGGCTCCTCAGCGGATTTGATTTGCAAGAAAGTACTCTGATCAGACCCAACATGATCAATTTTCCCTTCGGCATCAACGCAGCTGGCTACACAAGGGCTTGAGCAGAAGCCACAGCCCCACCCCCTGGCTGGGAGGCTACGGTGGCCACACTGCCCTTTAGGGGGATGATTTGTTTGCTTCTAAACAGGCAGGCTGCACTTTCTGGCTCTCAGTGGTCTCTGAAGTTGGCCTTCCTCTTCTCCACAAAGGCAGCCATGCCTTCTCGCCGGTCATCCTGGCAGAAGAAGGAAGAAGAGCAGAGGTGACATTCACGTCTTTCTGTCCAGCCCCACCACCTGCCCGAGGGCTGCTCCTGCTGCTGCCCCCGCCCTGGGGAGACGACTGCGCAGGGGCCTGCCCACCGCCCAGGCAGGAATCCGCACACAGGCTAGGACTAGAGATGGGGGTGACGGTCCCTCAGTAACCACACACACCAGCACCAGTAGAGTCAAGAGGCAGGGTTACAACTCTGCTCTGCACATGCCCCTTCTGTGGCTTAAGCACAAACTGCACTGTGAGCATACCCACGAGCCCAAAACTGTGTTTAAGCTTCTTTTTAACACACCTGGGCAGTATGATTTTCTAATAATAAAAGAAGCTTAATTATAACAGGCAACTAGGAGACAAGTTCCTTTAAGTTACTGGTAAGAATCATAGAAAATACTACTTGAAAGCATAAAATGAAAAAGGGGAGTTTTGACTCAAATGGTAGTGTGGGGCTGGGAAGGTGGCTCAGTGGTAGAGTGCTTGCTTGGCATGCATGAAGCCCTAGGTTCGAGTCCTCAGCACCACATATATAGAAAAAGCTGGAAGTGGTGCTATGGCTCAAGTGGTAGAGCACTAGCTTTGAGCTAGAGGGACAGCGTCCAAGCCCAGAGTTCAAGCCCCACGACCAACGCCTGCCTCCCTCACCCCCCAAAAAAGTAGAGCTCTAGCCCTTGAACAAATAAGCTTAAGGATAGTCCCCAAGTCCTGAGTTCAAGCCCCAGTATTGGCACACACACACACCAAGTTGGTGAGACTCCTCTTCAATCAATGGTGGGTGTGGTGGTATATACCTGTTATCTTAGCTACAGGGGAAGCACAAAGGCTAGGTGTAGTTTCATGGGGAGCACAACTGAGAGAAGCATAAATAGAAAATTGGAGCCTGGCGAGCCCATGCACAAAGAGCTACTCTTCCTCAAAAATGAAAAATGGAGGGGTCGGTGTGTTCAAGTGGTGGAAGGCTGCCTAGCGCGCAGGCCTTGAGTTCCATCCCTAGGATTGCCCAAAAGAAAGGGGGGTGAGGAGAAAGAAAGAAATAAGGGGGCTGGGAATATGGCTCAGTGGTAGAGTGCTTGCCTAGCATGCATGAAGCCCTGGGTTTGATTCCTCAGCACCACATTAGCAGAAAAAGCTGGAAATAGTGCTGTGGCTCAAGTGGTAGAGTGCTAGCCTTGAGCAAAAGAAGCTCAGGGACAGTGCCCAGTCCGAGTTCAAACCCCAAGACTGGAAAAAAAAAAGAACCACCATATTATCAAATTACAGCACTATGCGACACATTTGAACCACATTCTAAATAAATGGAGTGATTCAGGGAAAATACAGGTAAAATGAATATCTGTCTTCTTGTTTTCCAGAGTGTCTCAAGTTGCTCACTGATCCTCAACTCCTGAGCTCAAGCAATCCTCTCCTCTTAGCCTCTCAAGTACGAGGACTGCAAGCCCGCCATTGTACCCAGCTATGAACTGCACTTTAAAGAAAGGAGCAGCTGGCTTAAGGGTACAAGCACAGGGCATTTTTTTTTTGTTTTTTTTTGGGGTCCGGTCGTGGGGCCTGAACTCTGGGCCTGGGCGCTGTCCCTCAGCTCTTCAACTCAAAGCTAGCACTCTACCACTTGAGCCACAGTGCCATTTCTGGCTTTTTTCTTTTTGCTTATGTGGTGCTGAGGAATCAAACCCAGGGCCTCATGCATGCAAGGCAAGCGCTCTACAACTGAGCCACCTTCCCAGCCCAGCACAGGGTATTTTTGCAATACAAAATGACCTGAAAAGCTTTCTATTCTTTTAATTTCCATATATTCTACCTTTTAAATAAAATCAAGGCCACCAGCAGAGTAAGTCTGATCCAACTAGAAGGGAAACTAACAAGTTCTGACTAAAAGGAAGTGGCATCTACTGATTAAACCTGAAGGAAAACTCTCAGAAACTCCCAGAACTGGAATTCTCGAATTTCAAGCAGAATCTTGTTCACTCACAGTAGCGAAGGTTGAATAGAAGAGTTTCTTCTCCAATTTGTTTCCCTCTGTTAGTGTCATTTCAAAAGCTGAAAGAGAAACCTTACACTCACAAACTGGGATTCAGACTCTCAGAAGAGATCGCAGTGGTGGACCTTCTTGCTGCCCCTGACCCCTGGTGGCATGCCGAGGTCTGGCTTCCTCTGCAAAGGCCCCCTTGCTGGACACTTCTCTTCATTTTCAAATGCGTGGCCTCATCAGAGAAGGCCACATGAACAAAATGCTTTCCCAGGCTTCCAAAATGATGCCGGCAGTGGCTCAGGGTATTCACAGGGGAGAAATACCCAGAACTTGATAAAGGCAAAATGGCAAAATCTGCCCAGTTATAAGAATAGGAGCTGGCTGGGCGCCGGTGGCTCCTGCCTGCCATCCTAGCTACTCAGCAGGCTGAGATCTGAGGGTCGCAGTTCAAAGTCAGCCTGGGTAGGAAAGTCCGTGAGACTCTTATCTCCAGTAAACCACTAGAAAACCAGAAGTGGCGTTGCAGCTCAAGCAGTAGAGCACTTGCCTTGAGCTGAAGAGCTGAGGGACAGCGCCCAGGCCCAGAGTTCAAGCCCCCAGGACCAACCAAAAAAAAAAGAATAGCTGGCTGATGAAAAAAAAAAAAACACAGAAAATAGAAAAGGATAAAAACCAGAAGAGAATGGCCAGACAGAACCAAGTGTCATCTACTCGGGCCTCATCCTAGGCCTTTCTCTGTAGTGGAGGGCACACGGCAGTGCTTTCCCAACACCTAAGACGTGAGGCCGCCGGAGCCTGGGTCATGCAGGGGTGTTTGCCTGTGGATATCACGTGGCTGGTGCCCACAGGTCAGAGCATCCACCAAGGCTAGCGGCCACCAGGCTGGCACCACCAGGCTGGCGTCCCTCTTGAGGGGGACAGGGTCACAGGGCTGTGCAGCCTGCAGCCCAGTCTGGGTCTCGCTTCCTCTACAGGCAACACAGAGCAGCATCACAGTGGGATGCTAAATGCTGAATAAACCATTACACCCAGGCTCAAGCAGCGCTGAGGGAGGTCAAACAAGCTTCGCCCTTAGAGACAGCAGATGGCACCTGTAAATGCTTCTTGTGAGTTGTGCCACTTGGGGCCCCACACTGCAGACTCTCTACATACATCACAGCCTGTGGTAAGAAGAGAAACTACAATCCAGGTCCTGGGAGACTTGCTTTGCCACAAACTAGAGAACAGTGTGGCTTTCAGGGCAGGCCTTCCCTCCACTACACTGCCGTCCCCCCCGGCAGGCCTGGCCGTTTGGGGCCCTAGTACAAAAGGGTATTCGACATTTGACTAAGACCTGGAACTCGAAGGCAGAAATCACAATCTTGAGAATACTCCCATTTATGCCCGGGACAGGCCAAGGTGCAGACATTCAAGGCCTCACGACTCTGTCTTCAGGACAGACAGACTCTGTCTGGCGACCCTCCCCGCTTTTCCCCTACCTGCAGACCCCTACCTGCATTCACAGATTCTTTGGCCATGGCTGTTATAATTTTGGAATTGCTGGCAATTTTTTCTGCACACTGGATGGCCTCTTCAACTAGTGTTTCAACAGGAAAAACCTTGCTTACCAAACCTAAAACAGAAAATGAGAGTAACATGCAGCATAGTGCCAGCTCCATTTCTCCAACGGCTCGAGCTCTGAGTGCTAAACAAGGACAGGGACAGCTGGGCGGGGGTGGGGGCTGCTTCTCCACAGCCGCCACCTCTGATACACCAAGGCCAGAGGTGGGAACGAGGGCTGAGGTCCCAGTGACCCCCACTGCCCACGCTGGGGTGTGGGGAGGGGTAGGGCCTTATTGCTCTCTAACCGGGACACTTGCAGTTATTCTGTCTTAGTACTGTGTTTGTGGGCACAGAACCAGGGCGGCCAGGGGCAGGGGCAGCTGATGCAGTCCCCGAGGCTCCACCTGACTCCCACGGGCAGATGTGCCACCTGCTTGCTTTGCATCCTGGGCTGAGACCCGATCACCAGTAAGGACCATCTCCATTGCCAGGGACTTTCCAACTGCACGGGTGAGTCTCTGGGTACCTCCAGCACCTGCGGGAAGAAGGCTGTGGTCACAGCTACCCTGTGTCAAGGGAGGCTGAGAAGCAACTCAGTCACAGAGCATGCACTTATTCAGCACTCACAAAGCCCTGGAAGAAAGAGAAGAAAGGAAGAAAGAGAACGGTAGCCAGGCATAGGGACTCATACCTGTGAAACCTGGGGGAGGCCAAGATCAGGATTACAGTTTGAGGCCAGCCCAGGCCAAGTTTCCAAGCAACTGAAAGCGGGGCAAAAAGTTTGTAAGACCTGCTCGCAACAGAGGAAGCTGGGTGCGGTGGTGCATGCCTGTCATGCTAGCTATGGTGGGAGGCCCAGGCAAAAAGCAGGGCCTCAAAAACCAAACCCAAATGGGCTAGACAGATAATCCAAGTGTAAGCACAAGTAAGCACAACGCTCTGAGCTTACATGTCAGTAAAGAGGTATATCTCTCCCTAGAGAGAGAGAAAAAGAGGGAGGGAGAAAGAGAGAGAAAAAGGGGGAAGTCGGCGCTGGTGGCTCACGCCTGTAATCCTAGCTACTCAGGAGGCTGAAATCTGAGGATCGAGGTTCAAAGCCAGTCCGGGCAGGAAAGACCGTGAGACTCCTATCTCCAATAAACCACCAGAAAACCGGAAGTGGCGCTGTGGCTCAAGTGGTAGAGCGCTCGCCTTGAGCTGAAGAGCTGAGGGACAGTGCCCAGGCCCAGAGTTCAAGCCCCACGACCGACAAAAAAAAAAAAAAAAAAGAAAAAGGGGGAGAAAGAGGGAAAGAGAGAAAGGGAGAGAGTAAGAGGGAGAAGGAGGAGGGAAAGGGAATGGGAGAGAGTAAGAGAGAATGTGCTGTTGGCAAGCTCACAGGAACCAAAGATAAAGCTAAGTCATGCCCAGTTGGCAGGCGAGCAGAACCAAGGCAGCCAGCAAGAAGGTACTTCAGGACTAAGGTCCTGGTCTCAGTGGGGCCCGCAGATGCCTCTCTCCCCCCACAGTGTTCCAGGCCCAGGCATTCCTGCCCTCTCTGGGGCAGGTTCTGAACCTGTGTGCCAAGCTTTCTGCATGTGATCTGCGGCAGCAGAGGTCCTCTGAGCATGGTTCCCCACCAAGGAACTGGGCTACCAGCCTGCCAGGCCCACCAAGGAAGAGCCCAGCTGTAGACAGCATTGTTCTTTCCCAGGACTTTCCTTGACTCCCTGCTGTACCAAGCTCAGTGAGGTTGTGTGACCCACTGTGGCCAGTGATGTAAGGGTGGACAGGCTAGAGTCCCATATAACTCTCCCATTTCTGACTGACAGGGCTCTGCTGGAACCATGGATAGGAGAAAACCAGTGTGGCTATAAGCCAGCACCACTGCAGTGTGACACATCAGACACGGGGCCCATGTCATCGTGGGAGCTGGACACTGCCTGGCATTCCAGTGCGGTACTGAGCCTTCTCTTTCTCGTGTGGGTCTGCAGAGGGAGCACCGAGGTCAGTGCCTGAACCACCCATCTGGGCCTCTGGCTGGATGCAAGCCATGGGCCCCAAAGGACCTGAGGAGTGTGCACTGGAGCAGCCACGCTCTCACCTGGGATGGTTCCCAGCAGGATTTCTGGTTGTCCAAACTGGGCTTTTTCACCAGCGTAGATGATGTCACACATCATTGCAAGCTCACAGCCCCCACCAAGCTGCAGAACAAAGGTTGGCAGCAGGTAGGTTTTACATAGGAGCCCAGGCAGAAGCATTATTCTTACAGACTTTTCTATTAAAATGAAACTGGGCACAATAAAGATGAATCTAGTAGAATAAAGTTAACCACCAGAAAACCGAAGTGGCACTGTGGCTCAAGTGGTAGAGCACTCACTTTGAGCTGAAGAGCTGGGGGACAGCGCCCAGGCCCAGAGTTCAAGCCCCACAACAGATAATAAATATTCTAAGGCAAATACCGAGCTCTGCCGTGATGACTTCAAAGCAGCCACCGGGACAGGAAGGGCCCTGTGGGCCCACTTTATCATAGTGTAATTCCTTCCACAGCCCACAGGAGACCCTGAAGGGGACACTCACAGCAAAACCATTGACGGCAGCAATGACTGGCTTCTTCACGCGGGTGAGGTGGTCCCAGTGGCTCAGGAACTTGCTGGAGTAACAGTCCTGGAATGTCTGATTCTGCATTTCCTTGATATCAGCTCCAGCTAAAGGCACAAGAGGTTCCAGCTACCAGAGAACAGAGTCCAGCAGCCCTACAGACCCAAATCTACAGGCAGTTCTCAAGCGGATCGCGTATAGGGCTTAGGGGGAAGTAGGGAATAACCAACTTGCAGTCAGGCAACGCTGTAAAATGCCTGCTTGAATGAGGTCATGTAAAGGGGCCAAGCACAGGCAGGTGACAGATGGATGTCAGGTGGACAGAGAAGCAGGACTTGTCAGTCATGTAAGCTACCAGTAAGCACCTGAGTTGCTTTGGAACAAATGAGCATTCAGCTGTTCTTCCAAGAAGCTCACTTTACATGGGAATAAGTCCTCAGCCACACACTACCATTTTTAAAATGAGTCCTAGCCTTGAACTCAGAGCCTGGTTGCCGTCCCCAAGCTCCTTTAGCTCAAGGCCATCAATTTACCACTTGAGCTACCATGTCAGGCTTTCTCTGTGAATAAATGGTGATAACAGTCTTAGGGACTTTTCCTGCTCAAGTTGGCTCTTTGAGTCACGATCCTCGATCTCAGCCTCCTGGGTAGCTAGGATTACAAGTGCGGGCAGTCAGGGCCTGGCTAGAGACACCTCTCACTACTCCCCATGGCCCATGGGCTTGTCTCCCACACCCGCACCCCGGCATCCAGCGTACCAGCAAATGCCTTATCACTGCCAGTGAGCACAATGGCGCCCACCTCTGGGTCCTCCTCAAAGGCCTCCAGGGCCTGGTTGAGCTCCTCGATCAGGCCATTGCAGAGGGCGTTGAGCGCCTTGGGGCGGTTCAGCCGGATGAGTCCCACACTGCTATTCCTACCCCTTTTCTCTGTAACGATGTACTCAAAGTTGGCCCCTAGGACAAAAAGGCAAAAATGTTATCACACAGGCGTCAGAGGCCCAGGGTGCTGCCTTAACCCTGTGGCTTTGGCCTGTATCTCCTACCTCACTCACTGCTTTCACATCTGCATGTTAAAACCACCACCAGTATGCAACACAGCACTCTCTCTGTGCCATAGGCCAGCTCATCCCAGAACATGGTGAGAGGTCATGTGAGGTCATGAATAACACCCTGGCTATGCTGGGTGGGAGTGTGGTGGGAGGACAGAGGTAACAAACAGGTCATATGAGATGACAGCTAAAACCTAGAGTGGCATCCAGCTGACCCCGTAGACTTGGAGAGCCTGGCACAGCGTGTGTGTGGTGGGTGACTGGCAGCGTGAGTGCCCGTGTGTGTGTGTGTGTGGTTGACTGGCAGAGTACCTGTGTGTGTCTGGGGGGGGGTGTGTTGGGGTGTTGGTTGACTGGCAGAGTACCTGTGTCTGGGGGGGGGGGGTGTTGGTTGACTGGCAGAGTACCCGTGTGTG